TGTTCAATAACTCCAATTATACATCCTTATTACGGTAGGCGTAGTCGTTGTCGGTATTGTGTCAAATTTACGACAATGCCAAATTTTGTAATAGATTTTCCTTTTACTCTGTTACAAAAGCAATGCAAAAATTTTACTTTTGGAACCCTTATTATATTGTATTGGAAAAACTTTGACATTTTGTTTGTTTTCTAATTAATTTTCTGGTAAGTGTAATTCGTATGAATATTGGGAAATGAAATAAAATAAAGTCTAATGTAACAGTTAATCAGTAAATATAGTTAAAATGCAAATTTTAACACATTGTAGTAGAATGTATTGGATCACGACTATTATTTAATGTGTCAACACAGAGTTGTATGTTAATGTAAGAGATCTAAAAATGATGTACAAAAGATAAGATGAGAAATAAAAAGAAGCGCCACTCTTAATGACAGCGAAACAGAGAACAAGCGTGTAATATATATATATATATATTCCTTCTACATCAAGTGTTGTTATGCTCTTCGCCGCCTGTCTAATGCTCTTCGAGAGCGTAAGCACAACGATAAAAACGAAGAAGAAGTGCCAACAAGAACTGAGTATAATTTGCAACTTGACAAATCTTGTACTATCACTTGTGAGTGCCGTATTCCTTATACTCTCTCATACTCTAGCGGTGATCGTAAAACAGTGTTGGGCAAAATTAAATTGAGAGCAAGTGTGTGCGAGTGTAACTGAGAATTCACCATTACAAACGACTAACGTAAAGAGAAAGAGAGAGAAAATATGTTTACCAATCGACCCTCTGTTACGGTAGCGTATATGGGTAAGCATGCCTGTCGTAAAATCAAACACTTGATGTTGTTAGGGTGTAGAAAAATACTCGAGTATAAAAAAATACTTTCACTCAAAAGGCTTGACACCCAAAACACTTGTGATTGTCTAAGTGGCTTGCGTTTGTCTGTGGCTTGTTGTTCTGGTGTACGCCCATATAACGGTAACCCCAAAAATTCAGTGTTGTTGGGATTATGGACACGTTTTTAAATCAATCAGGTTCTAAGGTAAAGCACATCCTTGTACTAAAAATTATTATTATTATTAACCCAAGTTTGAAGGCAGTCGCCATAAAACGGTACCCCCTCTTCACTAAAATTTATTTTTGAAAAATTTGGAAATGTTTTTCAACCAAATTGGCTGTAATTTGTATTCTCATTGGCTGTAAAATTTCTAAATTTATCCTTGTTTGGTAGAACCCCATGAAACGCTAGCCCCACTGTTAGGTAATCATCTTTCTTTCGGTCCTATCATAACATTCGTTTTCTCCTAATTTTACATATTTTGAATGTCATCCTCATGGTGGATGGTATTAAAAACTCATCCGGGCAGAACTTGACAACGTTTTAAATTTTTTTAAAACCAAAACGGTACGGTGTGCGAAATTTTGTCTCAATCGGAAAAACGTTGGGAGTTTGGTGCACTATTTACAGAAAACCGGCCGAAAATATATATGCAGTTATATCTAATTCTGAACCAAATTTACCGAAACTTCACGTACGCCAATCTACACTTAATTCCGTAGGTTGTGCAAAAAGTTGTCGCAATCGGACTAACCTCAGGAGATTGGTGCACTTTTTAAATAAAATCAGATGAAAATATATATGGGAGCTATATCTAATTATGTACCTTATTCTGAACGCTGTGTGACTTCGGTGAACTGTTGAGAAATTGGGAACTATATCTAAATTGGAACCGATTTTTTTCCATGGGTCCATCTCGATACTCTTTGTCTGTTACAAACAGGAAGGGTATAAAAATACACAAGACGAACTGAATGCTTTGATTTGATAAAAAACATAAAATCATGACATAACTATACAGGGTAGTATCATTTGAGAAATTGATAATGGCAACCCTTCTTAATGTGGAATTCATATTTCAATTTCAAATAAAATGAAAAATAAATTCCATAAAATGTTACGCAAGGCGATTGGCAATTTTTCAACATAATTAAATTCTTTTTTCTAAAGCTTCACATTCTTCTCATGATTTAACTAAGAATGTTGCAATTTTTATTTATAGGTTTATAGGCAGGGAACTTAAAAATATTTATAAGTATAAATGATTCAAACATATTTGCCACTGAATACAAGATATGCGTTCATTTCGAAGGAAATATTTTCGTTTAAATCTTGAAATGAATGAATGTTGTCGAAAGCAAATTTATGAAAAAATTAGAAACATATGACTGCATGCGACTACCTTGTATAGTTATGCCATGCATAAAAGTATAAAGATAGGTCAATTCATACGTAGAGAAATTCCAATAGATGGCTTTTCCTCTGTTGTTATGATATCATAACAACAGAGCGAACAATATTAAACGCATTGAACGCTATATCGAAAGCTTGTAAAATAAAGACATATATTTTAAGTGCAGATCGCTGATTTTATTTATATTAGTTTGGGGAAAAAGAAATCCATTATTTTTTCGGCAGATGACTGTACTGATAGATTTCTCGTAAAGCATCGACCAAACAATTTCAGATTTATGCTCGTTGGAGGGTGACATTTCGCAGTAAAAAATAATTTAGCTGTTTTTTGTTTGGTGCATTAAGTTGTGAGATACAGGGTTTTAAAAATTGGATGTGAACAAAGAAAAAATTCGGTTCATTTTACAGGTTTTCTTTGACAAAGGCGAAAATGCAAGCTAAGCGTCTAAACTTGTGAATGGTGTTTATGGTACCGATACTGTAACAGCCAATTTTGGTTTCGAAGATTCCATTCATGAATTTTTGATGATGGAGATGTCCCCATGGTATAATTATTACAAGGTAGGGCACAGCTATCAACTGATTACAATTTTTTTCTCAAGGTGACTTGTTCCAAGGTGTATTTAAAAAGGTGTATGCATCAGAAACAACAACAAATATTTTACAAAAACAACATTGTTGTTATAGAAATTAAATTGTCATGTTGACAATTAGTTTTTGTCAAAAATAAACAAAAGCAAATATTTATTTGTTTCCGTTTTTTGTCAACAAATAATCAATGAGGAATTGAAATCTTTTGTTTTTTGGAAAATTTAATCATCAGCCCTTCTCAGTGGAAAAGTTGTGTGCCATAAATCTCCACTCAAAGACCACAAAATAATGAAGATTGTGTTACGTAGCCAGTATACCAATATTGTCATAAGCGTATGTCAAATTCTCGGGACGAAGTATGGCTATCCACAAATGCTTTTTAATTTAAATTAACATATAGAGATCCACTGCAGAATCTATTCTTAATTGCAAAGATTTTGTGCCTAACTATGAGTTAGGCTGGACATCCATCGAAGATTTTGCAAATACCAATGGGCAGATTCCAATAAACTTTATACCCTACATGTATGGACTTATTTAAACACGAGCTACTCAAATTGTGATATTTTCGTGAGAAAGCACTAGAGACATTATAGAGACCCATATTTCAGAATGTGCGACAAACACCAATGGACAGATACCAATACAGGCTGCTTGCAAAATTTAAAGTTCCATATTTCAGAGGCCTATAATCAGGAACCCAATGTAAAATATATTTTTTCGTCATTTGAGACTTGTAAGATTTTCTGTTCCTATAAATTTAAATTTTAAGGAAATGAAACGTCGAAGAAATTTGTTTTCACAATTTACAATAAAGAAAAAAGTTTAAGACCATATGATTGTCACTTACACTTATTAAATACGCCATGGCTTGTTCCATCAAATCAAAATACATATTTTGTGTATGTGTGTATTGTTTTGAATACTATGTCAAGTAAATTGAAATATATTCAAGTTTAATTGAAATGAAAATGATGTTTTTAACACGTTCGTCTGGAAGTAATTACTTTGTTATGGATGAAACAAACATTTGATGGTATTCCCTACTGAATTTTGGGGAGAAATCATAACCTTTCATTCATTTTTCGCGTTTTTAGTCTTGTGTTGAAAAAATGTCAAATAAACACAAACAATTGTTGCGTATATTTATTTTATTGTTGGCAGAAGAAGCCACACGTGCACAGTTGCTTTTTCGTTATTAACCTCAAGCTGCCCTACCTTGTATTATTGTATCATGGATGTACCTCGAACAGGTAGGCCAGTCGTCGAAAATGCCGATAAAATTGGAGAAATTATCGAAGTTGACCGGCATTTTAGCAGTCGTAACATCCCCCAGGAGCTAAAAATGTCGTGTTCCATCAGTGCAATGACTCATCATTGTTTTAATGCATCCGCCATACAGTCCGGACTTGTAATTCAAGAAAAAAATGATAAGCGGTTATTTCTTTAATGATTAAAAACTGGTACCTAGGGAGAATTGTGAAAATACTACTAGAGTTTTTTTGCAAATAGAGAGTAGGAATTCTATGAGGGAGGTATTATGAAGTTGCATTTAAATGACAACAAATTATACAACAAAACGGTGCATATTTTTATTCTTAACATGCCTCTGTTTGCTTGATTCCGCTAGATATGTTTTCATAAACTATATAGAAACCGTAAAGACTCGACAACTTTACGGTTTCTATGTCTTAGATTTAATGAAATTGTTAATAGATATATACGTTGGTAGTAACCCTGGTACAATCATACAATATAGGCTACAGCGACTTACAAATTACAATTTTTTCTTGTTGCGGCTTGATATTACAAGGCATATACAAATGTATGAATTTATGTGTAATGTTTTCAAATATGAAAAAAAGATTTTCAATTTAAGTCAAGAAATTTAAAATATGTTGGATGAATAAGTATCAAAATTTTATTTCTAACTCGATATTGAAAAGAAAACCTGACGTTCCATTCATATTTTGAATGCTTGTGCCACATTTCTAACAGAACTGACTGAGTTTGGCATTTCGAGATTTAATGGATAACGCCACTAAAGTTCTTACATATTTTAATGCGAAGGACATTTTGGGTGCTGTGCAAAATCATTGCTAAAACTAATATAAGAATAACAAATTTAACGAAACAATGCTATTCTGTGTCTTGCAGGTAAGGATAAATTGGGGGTTCCTGCCTCAGAACCGGTGCGGCTTGTTCTTGAGAGCGATGGAACCCAAATTGAAGATGGAGAATATTTTCGCACTTTGGCAAATAACACAGTCCTATTATTGTTGAGGCAGGGGGAACGTTGGTATCCCACAGGAGTAGATGTTATAAAAGCTGGTAAGTTTTAAATTGCAATTGTATTTTTATGGGAGCATACACCGAAATAATTGCATGTACATTGCAGCTATATCAGCTATACCGAAAATCGTCTGTGAGACGATTCATGCATTGGAGTTACATGATGAGACTCCATCTTGGAAAATTATGGATAATAAGGGTCGTGTTACAGTTGTTCTACACTGGGACCAACGTCAAGGAGGAGGTGGAAGCAGTGGCGGAGCGTCTGGAGGCATGGGGCCAAGTAGTAGTGGGGCAAGTACTAGTAATGGCCCGCTATCATCTGATAAATATTCGCCATCGAAAAAGGGCCTTTCGGCGCAAAGTTCATTGGACAACAAATCGGTGTCTTCACAATCGTCGCAACAGCGATACACAAGTCCACAAATAACGGTAATAAGTGATGATGGTCCCGCTAACATATATCATCCCGGTGGCATGGTAGTGTCACCAGGTATTGTGATACCTGGCACCAGCAGAAGGCTTTCAAAACAAGGTGGTTCCTTTGATAGTGCCGTTGGTGCGGTGCATGTACATACGCCTGAATGTGCACATCATGCTCATACCCCTAGTCGAGCAGGAAGCCCAAGTACTACGGAATGCGACTTCCATTGCTGTGCCTTGCACGAGGAGGGTCGTAAAATAGCTGTTCACAAAAGTGTAGCGACCTCGCCCATCCAAGATGGTACTACAAGTCCTCAGCCTCAACAACAGGCAACACTGGCCATGTCTTCGGCTGTGGATCCTATGATAGGCAGTATGCAACGTCGGTCTTCGGGTACAAAAGGTCATGTTCGTTTCCTTGATATTGCGCCGGAACGTGACAGTTCAGAAAGTGAGACGGAGAATACAGTTATGGAGGACGACAAGGTAACGACCGAAAAATTCTTGCTCCTCATCGATCAACTCTCTGTAGATCAAAAACGCCATCTAAGTATAAAGGACATCGGAATAATTTTAGAACGGCTAAATTCCAAAATTTTAGATGTTGAACGATTGGATAGAGAGTCAGAATCCGACGATTGTTACAACTGGACGATAAAGGCAACAATACGCGGAGATGCTCTGCGCGAATTGGGGGTAATATACAATGGCAACTACTACGCCATTTCCGAACATCCAGGATACAAAGAAGAACTCGAAGAGAATGGCGAAGAACCTGAAGAGGATGAAGAAGATCGAATCTAAACTCTAAACCTCAAATATTGTGTCTCTCGGTTGTTCCAAACAACTAAAACATTTCAACATTTCTAAACCTCCGAGGAACCACCCAAGGCTCTTCACAACTTCTCAATTTAGGTTAGATTTAGGGTAGACACTGGCTCACAACTTTTGTTCCCAATATAAAAACGATCTGCTTCCACAAAATCGTGAAAATTCCCACTTCCTTTTCATCCCCTAGTTAATTCAATATTCAACGCTGTTATTTTAATTCTTAGTCTCTAGTTATGTAATTTATCTAACCTGAAAGTAGTAAACATACAATCAGACACCTTGAATTTATCACATAGAATTCATTCTCAGCAATATATTGTGATTTAAACTGAATTGTGTTATTTTTGTGATATCATTCTGGCTGTTTCTTTTGTTGAATCCAAGGAATATTTCCATTATATGAATTCTCCTTGTCAGAGAGCGAAAAATGTCATACATACAGTAAAGTTCAATACTTTCACACACATTATCGCGCACATGTGAATTCATTTACGTATAGGACAAGTGCACCAATAGTCGGCATTTTATGGATTTACGTATCCTCAATATTTCGTCGTTTAATAATGAATATATCGTATATTGGATAAGTTTGTTTGTTATTTGTCAAACAACTGTATTTACTTTATTCTCATTTCATTAACTCATACATATAACAACTTAAATGTCAGCTTTTGGTCACATAGACCCATTATCTTTCTCGCCAGGTCACAACACTTTAACTTCAAATTTGGTCTTATATTAAATCGTATACAATATCATCATATTGTTGAAGTTCATTTACTTATTTCGACAGGGCAATTCTTAGATCACTGATTTTAAATATAAAAAATACCGACTACTGGTATGAAAAAAGTAAACGTATATGAATTGAGATAGCTGTTTTGATTTTTTTGATACTGAACATTTGAATACAAAAATGCCGGCTGCAGGTACACGCCGAACTGAGGAACACTGCACGGAGAGTTCACTCTGTAATGAATGTCCTAATTTTTTTCGAACAAAGTGAGCGCCAACATAATATAGGAGATTGATGGTTGCATGAATGGATATTTATAATTAAATACATAGTTGTTTTTTATTGCGGACGATCAATGGTGAAATATATATTAGAAGTTTACTATTTAGTTTCAAAACTGAAATATAAGCCTAAACATAAGCAAATAAAAACTCGCTCATCCAAAATTTGTATAACTTAAAAACAAGTAAACAAGTAAACAATCTAAACTGCCATCATAAGAGTTCATGAGAAAATCCAAATCATACAAATTAGGCATTTAATAATAATGAAACAGCAACAAAACACGCATAATTTTGTAATATTCGAAATTATTACATAGTATAGTAGTGATTATGACAATTAACAAATAAAAACCAAATACCGATTACACTCACCACCAAAATAAATCAACATATGTTTTTGATAAGGATTGATTCGAATTCCAGACCCTACACCTATTCCAATTTAAAAAAGTAAACATTGACAACCACACTATAATCTCCCAAACTAGCATTTCAAGTACTTAGTTGTCGCAAATAGCGCTTCATGTTGACAGACCATGATTTACCACCCCTTCCCCGCATGGAAAGAAACACTGCCAATACTGAATAGTAAGTCGTTAATATTGTTTTATGGACGTGTATATGTATTTAAGATTTTGGGTACATATGTAGGTATGTGTGCCAATGGAAACCGTTTACATATGCCAATGCAGGAACAGACAAAAAAATCTTGATGAGTTTATGTAATTCCCTTAACAAAAAATATCGAATAAAAAATAAATTTCCTTAGAAAAAAAAACAAATGGAAGAACAATTAACATTTATTATTCTCGCATTTTATATATAATGAGAGAATATTAACAAATTATTTTATATAGCAACAATCAGAAAGTCGCACAAACCTGATTAGTATAGGGTCATATTAATTAACTGATTAATACATGGGTCACAATATGTAAATTCTTTGTTGTTTATATAGTTTGTGGATTTAAAAAGATATCTTCCATTCTTTATCGGATACCATAGAATATATCGCAAATAATTTGTCATATTACAGATAAAAACATATCAAGACTGCTTCGACGGAAATTAACGAATATATTATTAGTGACTGCCACGTAAAGAAGAGACAACTTTGTCTGGCCCATTTTAAATTTGTGTATAAAATAAATGGACTACTAGAGTGTGTAATAAGATCTACTAATTTAAATTAGACCTCCAAGACATGAATAATTTTTAATTTTTTGTATTAAAAAACGCAAAATTACGATTGATATATGATTTCACAATATAATTAAATTGACTAATTACTTTTTCTTCTTTTTGATGTTAAAAAATAATTTAAATTAGAAAAGGGTTAGTGGTATCCGAAATTATGTACTACTGAATTTTTTGGGAAAACATTGTAAACACATCATTTGAGTTAGGTTGATATATTGTGTCGGACTTCTGTGCAATAAACGTATGAAGGAAAAAAACAACTAAAAGTAGAGCAAGCAATAGAATTATTATAAAATTGTAATATATTTTGTGAATCTTATGGAAAATTGATTTGACTTTAGTTGGTAGATCTTTTTATATATATTACATGCACAAAATTAATAGTCCCATTAGTTGACAAAAAATACAACTAATGTTTCCTTTTTCATAATATTCATTTTCAAATATGATTCAAAAATGGATTTCCAATGAGAGTTGTTTCTGCTTATAAGCATATACAATTTTTTGCTGGAAAATTTGTCTATTAAAATGTTTCTATAATTAAGAGAAATGGAAATGATAGGCAACCGACATAAACCAATTTGCTGAAAGCTGTATTTTTTTCTTTTTGTATTTAGAATGCCCTATATATCAATGTGGAACAGGGAATCATGTATTACAAATTATTTAAGTAACCAATTGTTAACCAGTTTTCACATTCGAGCATTGTTCAGAATAAGAAGGGAATATATAACTTACTTACGGTAGAGGAATTTGCGTTATTCTAAGGTTTCTTCTTGGCACACAAAAAGTACTTGCAATCTTACCGTCAAAATTGTATTTTGTTGCTGCATTTACTTCTCACGGAATTGGCACGACTAATACAAACAAAATACAAATCATAAAATTGTTCAGAAACCAAAATTAAACATTAAATATTACAAACAATATTGAAACGGTGGTAAAACACTGATTCACTGAAAAACATAATAATTAATATTAGAGAATATGATATTACTGCTATAGGTTAGAAAATGGCATTTATCGGGAATTTTTAGTTATTACTATAAGTCTAAGAACTGCAAAGATACCGTTAAAATGCTACATCAACACGCAGGAACTAAAAGTATTTTATGGAGAACAGAGCCAGGATGTCCATCGAATCTCAGTTTGCCAAAATCTTAAATCACATTCATACATACAAATATTCTCTAACATAACATCCTAGGAAAAAAACACAAAAAACTCTAACCACAACTAACATACCTTCAAAAATAATGGTGTAAATGCAATCAGTTGTAAAATTTAAACAATATCCAAATCCGAAGAACAAACTTCAATACATTTTACCAGTTCAATAATGAAAACGACTAAAAATATTACGAAGCAAAATTACATTAAGAATGAATTAACTGACGTAGAAGGAATCCCATGAATTAATACTAAGAACATTCATAAATATATTTGTCTTATATTACATACGAACAAAAAATAAAAATAAAAAATAACTGTCACCATAATTCTATAAAATTAAAAAGAACATAAATATAACAAGAACCCATATAATTAACAAATGCGAAAAAATAAAAAAGACAATTAATAATAAAAATTAATCCAGAAAACAGAAAACTAAAATTTTTGATCAATTAGGATACAGATGAATAGCGAATGTTTTAAATGATTTTTGTTAATACTCAAAGAAACATGTGACTACAAATTAAAACATAATAAAAACAAAATCAACACGAATAACATTGAAAAAGAAATACAATTCTGAACCTAAGCTAAGGTAAATTATTATTAAGAATGATTCTCAAACAAAAATAAACAAATGAAAATAACAACAACTGCATTAACATTAAACTTTGAAATTGAAGTGATTTTAAATTAAACAGGTAAGTTCATGATATTGTTTTAAGTAAGCATATATTTCATTTAAAGTAAGTCTATGATACTTTTTTATATAGCACTACTCTGCAAGGTTGAATATTTGATTAAGTTCTGATTATAAATATGTGATTTGAACATTTTTTAACACAGGAATGAGTACACCTTGCATTTCTTAATTATATAGAACTTATCGGGTCCTTTATTTTCTGAGAATTATTTTTAATTAAAAAATTTAAAGTCTGGTAAAAACCGGGATATTTTCATGGGGACTCTTCCAAAACATAACCCATATACTATGCATTCATTGTTACTTAAGTTTGAAATAATTTGAAATTTATCACAGAAAACCCACAACCAGTTTTTAACTCACTAGTCCACACAGTTATTTATTTCGCAGTTTTCATAATGCAATATCGAGAAAGAAAAATGTTACAGACAAACCAGCTTCAGATATACTGAAAAAGTATAATGTGACCATTGCATTATAGGTCAAATGACCACTTTTTCTGTGCAAAATTCATAGCGGCAACATAATCATAGTATTCGTTATGAAATTTGGCCCAACGGATTTTTTGAATTGCAGGGTGCGAAGAATGATTAAAATACGCTATTTCTCACGAATGCTCACTGGCGAGAATTCTAATTTCAATTTATCGCGAATGATAAAGTTAGAATGAATGCACAAGCATTTGCATTCTCTCGCGAATGTTCGCATTGTACGAAAAATTCACGAACGATAAAATTTCGCTGCAAGCGCCGTCGATTCATTCTTTCGCGAGCATTTGTTGCTGAAGAATTTTCTTTTGAAAAACTCAAAAAAAAAAAAAAAAAAAAAAATATTCGAAAAATATCATAAAAACAGAAAGTGTGTGGAATAACAAAACA